AAAATACTTTTGAAATGTTAACCATCTTTATCTGACTGGTTTATGCCATAACACACCAAAAATATAAAATAAACATGTCCACCAATATAACAGAAAAATATAGTAAATAATACAGACAAAACAACTTCAATATTGCATTCTTCGGCCATATTATATACTGCAATTGGTGGACATAAACATTCCAAACAACAATAACACGCATCTGATGATTTTGTTTTATTTGGACCATCAATACCACTATCATCAGACATTTTTTATTTAATTAAGTTTTGAAAAAAAATGTAATTATGAATGTTGTGTAGTTTATTATTAAATCAAACTGTTAAATTAACAATACAAACAAATATTTTATTAAAATAATAATGTACAAACATGTTTTAATTGACTTGAATCGAGTTTAATATAATTCATATAATTTAAATTCGAATAAATATTTTAATAAAAAATGAGTTATTGTTTAAAATTGAAAAAAACACAATTCTAAATTAAATTTTATGTTTACTGTAATTTATTTTTAATTTAAATATTTTTTACTATAAAAATACCTTAAATAATGATGAAGTCAAACTTCATTTCATTATAATAAATAGTGCAATAATAAACAAGAAAAATATTAAAAAACTTTAAAAAACCTGAAAATTATGGTAAAAAAATATCAACCAAATAATAACTTCAGTTTTTAATTAAAATGCCAACTCACAAATTTCCACGTTTTCTATATCTTCAAACGTCACGTTTTCTCTATTTATAGATTCATAGAAACAAAAATCATCAACTCTCTTCACACTTTTTGGCGCTTTGATAATATCTAGAGCTGCCATAATTTGTAAATTACTAAATATTTTTTTGTTTATTTCGTTTTTTAGAAAAATAAATATTAGGGAAATTAGCTTATTTTTTATTTTTTCAAAAAAACCACAACATTTGAATAGTAAATTTGTTATTTGGTTAATAATTTAATATTAATTTATATTTGATGCTTATTGGAAAACACAAGTATCAACAAAACATTAAAAAACTCTACGTGTTATCAAAAAATAAAAAAGAACAATAACAATCAATTCATTTTTCGTTTTGGCCAAGTGGTAAAAAACAAATTAATTATATTTTAAATAAAATAAAATAGTCCACTTCTTCATCGTGTTAAATACATATAATATTCACATTATCCAATACAACTTTTAAAATTAATTATAATTAAAAATAATTTACAAAAATCAGCCTGACAATTATATTTATTCAGTAAAAAATGACAAGATAATAAATAACAGTAACCAATGCGAAATATTTTATTTCCTTTAGTTAAATATTTATCGAGTAAATGTTGTATTACAATTACAATTTGATAGTTGTTTACATTGTTGGTATTATTAAATACAAATACTAATATTAAAAAAACAGTTGATTTAAAATATTGTGTCTCTATTAAGTTACAACCAAAACAAAAACTTTGTGTTTTGATTGAATTTTTATATTATTAATGATATTCAGTTTCACATTGTTCAATTATTGAAATATAACAACATTTGCTCATAAAAATAGAAACTTATTGATAATTAATTATTGTATTTATTTTTGATACTCTATTGACAATATAATATATTATTTTTTCAACTCATTAAAATAGAGTTTTTAATTATTCTTATAAAAAAGTTATTAAGATATCAATTTAAATTAACAAACAACAAATATTCAATTGTGTTCATGAATATTTATTGACAATTCAATCTTTGAATTTAATCATAAATTATAATGACATTAAAATTTTTGTTTTTATTTGTCACTTTTGTATAATTACTATAATATGATTATAAAACAAACAAATAAACATAAAAATTAATTTCATTTATTTTATTGTATAATCATGGCGATATAAAAAATTAAAGGATGTTTATATTGATAATTGCATGTAATCAAACATTACTTATGTTTTTAAAACATCTTTTAATTAATACCGTTTTATCATACAACAGAATAAGAATTGGATTTTGATAACACTACAACAAGTATGCTCCAGTTTTATGGATACACAATTCTATCATAAATTACAAATATTTTAATAATATGCATTGGTGTAATAATTTAATTATTAACTGTTACATTTTTATTAATAAATTCTGTTATAATAATTAAAATGCTTAAACCTTTTAATATAAACATAAAACATCAAACAAAATTTATTATAAACATAATAAAATATTGAGAATATATTATTGTGTTTATTTATTTAAATCACACCAATTATCAAATTTGATTTGTTTCTTTCACACATGATAGCAAAAATGATCATTGTTTTCATTCAAAAGTTAATAATCGTAAAAAATTATTTTGATATACAAAGTCTAAAATAATTATTATAGTTTAATTGATATTCTATAATTTTTTTAGTAGTTTTCACTAACAACATATTTAGTGGAAACAATCATGAAAAATAACAATTAATAAAGGAAAAAAACACAATTTTAATAAATATTATTGAAAAGGTTTAATTTTACCGTTTTATCCACAACGAGTGGTTAAACTGTTATTATAAACATTTACTCGATAATCATTTTTATTTTTATTTGTTTTTGGGTTTTCAGTTTTGGTAATTTTTTTAAAAAATATGCCGAATGAATAATTGTTTAACAAAAAATAACACAAAATAATAATATTTCAAAATAAAATATAAAAATTTTTGTAGAGTTTGATTTTTAAGTTTTGTCTTGATGATAATTTAGTAATTAGATTACCGAGTAATTTAACTACTTGGTAATCAAATGACTGAAATTACCTATTATTGAGTAATTTAGTAATTCGAAAATTATTGCAGCTCTAATAATATCAACTTTTTTAAAATTTCTAAAACATTGTTTATTGAGTAGTACGACACCGTCGGGCACTTCTCCGATTGTTTTTCCTTCTTGTTTGATTATTTTCAAGTGGTGTTCAATATCAGTTGATACAACATGTATATTTGTACATTTCATTTTATTGTTATTTAGCATCAAAAACGCACTATATGAAAGAGGAAATTTCATTTCTTCGACGATTAGTCCACTTACAAATACATCTTTTAAATTATTGCAGCATTCAAAAACGGTGGGTGAAAGTTCTATTTCACTGTTGTTGAATTTCACACTTCGTAATTTGCGGCACTTATAAAAAGCGAAATTGTCAATAAAAGTCAGTGATTGTGGAATTTCGATTTCTTCAAACTTTTCACACCCATCAAAGCAGTAATGTCCAATCTTTTGAACAGAACTTCCAATTGAAATTTTAGTAACTCACAAACATGAAGAAAATGAATTGTTTTATATTTTGGTTATATCATTTGGTATTACAATGTCTTTGAGTGATTTACAATAAATAAAAGTTGTATTAATTTTTGTGCCTTTTTGACTATTTTCAATAAATTGAACATGTTCCAGTGAAAAACACTCAAAAATACATTTTCTTGTTCTAAAACTGTTTTTGGAACAACAACATGTTTTAATGCAAAACGCCATTCAAAGGTATGATTTACAATTGCAATGACACTTGTTGGAATTGTTATTTGTGTCAATCCACAATACGGAAATGCGTATTTTACGATGACTTTTAAACTGTTTAGAAAATGTATCTTGTTGAAGGAAATGCAATTTTTAGAAGCAAAACTTCCGATTGTTGTTAATTTTTTTTGAAAGTACTACTTCTTGTAAATTATTAAAAATTTCAAAACAATTTTCAATAATAGAAACCACGTTATTTAAATTATTTAAAATATTTAAGTGAGTAATGTGCTATTTATTGGTTTTATTTTTAATGAGTACCAAATTGATCTTTGACATTTTTAAATAAATAAAGTTGTTCAATAAAGACATTCAATTTGGTACAAATAATATGCAATCACTTCAATAGTCGCATTTTATCAACACTCATTGACCCATCAAAAGTTTGTTTACCACACAAATGAACATTTTTAAGGTTGTCACAATAATAAAAATGACATCTCCTATACTTGTAAGAGTCGTTGGGATTGTAAAATATTTAGTGTTTGTTTTCTTTTTTAACAAGAGTCAATGTTTGGTATTAATTGTGTGGTTCTTGGTGTTTGACTGTTTTTCTTCTTTCGACTTCAATTTATGTTTTAAGTTCGTTCAAGTATTTTTTCAATTTATTTTTTTCAGTAAAGACGAATTTAATAATAATCTAAAAATGGGTCTAAATTTTATCAAAATATTTTTTTTAGTTTTATTGACTGATAATTTAAACCCTAAAA